TGCCAGGGGCCCTAATATAACCCTCCTGTGGGTTGAACTAGGACCTCATCTGAACGGTGGCACTTTGTGTCATCGCGTGTTTATCGCTGGATGTGATGTACTAGTGAGGTTAAACATCAGTCATATATATATATATATATATATATATATATATATATATATATATATATATATATATATATATATATGATACTCAGTTTCTCACCATAGTGTAATAATTTAGAAATACCAATAGGTAGAGGGCCACCAAGAAGAATATCGATTGAAAGAGTCACTGATACCTTAAGACTCCACAATAATAAATATTACAGCATACCAGGCAACCGAGCGTGTCCTAGCTCAAATACCGACCATCTGTTAAACGACAAAATCTAGCGGCACAAAGCATCATATAAATAATTAAACAAAAATAAGTGTAATTAGTCAGATTGCCTAGAAAGTTCTCTGTCGCCTGAGGCGCACTTTGGATAAACACTGCTCTCCACTGTATTCTTCTTCTCCTTTGCCTTCAGTTTCGTCTGCTCAGATCAGACCTTCAGGTGAGTTGCTTCTTTGAACTCGTATATCGGCCGCGGGTCCTTCATGGTTCCCTGTAGCTTGAACTACACACTTTGCTCTTGAGGCCAGATGTATTTTCAAAGTTGCATGTAGAGTAGGAGGGTTGGCAGAATTGCTGAGGTGTTTGTGGTCCTGTCTGACAGGCACACTATGGGGACTGTACAATCTTTATTTTATGCATGTGGTAGTTGAGCCTGCAGTGTCCCGTTCGTGGTCGGAAAATTGTCGTATGTTGCTTTCTGTTAAGTCTGCTGACGGGGTCTTGTGGAAATTTGCTGTTTGTTCTTTCCACAATTTCTCATTTTTTCCCTTGATAAGTGTTCTGATTAGGTAATGAAAATAGGATTGCGCTGGACAGAAACTGGGTCCATATTTATGATTGTGGTATCAGAGTCGTCGAAGGAGAGCAATCTCCGTAGCAAAAAGGTCAAGCAGTCTAACTGTCTCACAGAAGCTTATGGGTTCGTTTCAGGAACACATCGATTGGTTCACCGGGGAGAAAGTTTATTCTGATCCCTAGGCATCGTCGCCAGAGCTACGGAATGTACACTTTATGTGACCCTTTCGAGGAGCGGTTAGCAGTTGTGGGATAAGAGCCCAAGCTATGTTGGATACACTTTATGCAAAATCAAGGTTTAAAGATGAGAGCTCTGAATGTTATCCTATATGGTTGATAAACCCTACCTAATGATGTCAACGCTCTCAAACTTCAACATTCAGTTCTGTCCTTAGCAAAAACTGACACCAGTTAAAACATTACCGAGTCAAATTAATGCAAACCCATGTGCATATCGACGTCGATTAATTTAATGCACGGTTTATTCAACAAAACTTGTGCACTTTGTTGAAGGTGCTGATATCACACGGAGAGTAGTTAGATATCCACACAGGCAGGCTTGAAACATTACAGGTAGCTGCTGAAAAAACAGATAAGCAGATAAGATTGCACAATATTAATTTTTTAAGCTGCCAGTGAAGACCATTCATCTGTATAGATAAAAACATATTGTTATATAGACGGCTGCCTTAGTACAAAGATCTTATTCATCATCACCATCATCATTTTGAGATGGGGAACAAAAGAAACAGACGCAGCATTAGTACTAATAATATAATTAGATGTTCTACAAGTCATAGCGATGTTTGTGATTGTAGAATTCGTAGAAGTTGCTATAATAGTCGTAGTATTAGTTACTGTGTTTGCTGTAGTAGAAGTAACGATAGTATAGTTGTAGTAGTGATACCGTAGTAGTGGTTGTAGCGGTAATATTAGTTTTAGTAGTAGCAGTAACAGCAGCAGCAGCAGTAGTAGTATCAGAAACAGTTTACAGTTGTAGAATTGGTAGCAGCAGCAATAACAGTAAAATTAGTATCAAAAGCAGTTGTAGTGATAATAATTACTGTTGTAGCATTGCGGCGTCCGTGGCTTAGACATTGCAAATACGACTCGTAATTCCAAAGCACCGCGATCGAAAGCCATTGCTTGTTGCGTGGATTTTTATCATCGTATGGGGCGTCGCAGGTCGACCCAGCCTAAAATGGGTACCACGATGGCTGTCCTGGGGAAGTAAAGACGACCGGCGTAATGCTGACCACATTACCCACCGAGCGCTCTCCCCATATGCCTGATACACATAGAAGGCACGAGAAGGGATCAAGAAGTTCAAGATCAAGTAGTAGTATTAGTTCCAGTTAAGTAGGCATGGTGGTAGAAATTTTAATTGTAGTAACAGCAGTGGCAACAGCACGAGTGGTAGCAGGTGTAGTATTATTGTTGTAGTAGTTGTTGCAGTTGTGCTATAAGACATTGTTGTTGTAGATATAGTAGTTGAGTTATGTTTCTCGATGTTATTGTAGTCGCAGAAACAGGATTGGTAACATAATTATTTGTTATTGTAGAAGTTGTACAGCAGCACATATAATAAAAGTACTACTAGTAGCTTCAACAGCAGTGGTGTTAGTAGTAGTAGCAGCAGCTGCAATAGTAGTAGCATCAGCTGCAGCAATACCTGCAATAGTCTTTTTCTTCTTTTGCTCGCCTGTTGTAAGCATCGGAGAAAGGTCCTGGTTGTTCGTCCCCAAATAGTCGACTCTTTCGACATGCTTTTTGTGGAGACAGTGGGTGTGTTCTTTTGTTTACACCAACATTGGGGCCCCAGAACCCACACGGAAAACCTGCAATAGTAACCGTGGTGATAGTTGCTGCAGAAGGAGTAGCTAGATTAGAGGCAGTAATGATGTTAGCATTTGTGACAGTAGTTGTAGCAGTGGTGATAGTAGTACAAACAGTAGTATGATTTCCACTGTTACTCTATCTTTGTTTCTTTCTTCCTATTCTTCTTGTTTTTCTTGTTGTTGTTGTTGTTGTTGTTGTTGTTGTTGTTGTTCTTCTACTTCTTCTTCTTCTTCTTCTTCTTCTTCTTCTTCTTCTTCTTCTTCTTCTTCTTCTTCTTCTTCTTCTTCTTCTTCTTCTTCTTCTTCTTCTTCTTCTTCTTCATTGTTCACAGGATGCAAACTACAGGACAACGTTCTGGCTGTTCGTCCACTTCTGAATTTTAGTCTGCGCCTAGAACTTGAGTTTTGAATGAACATCAATTATACATATCTGGCTTTTTGTTTTAACGCAGAATATTGGTTCCTTGGCTCTCAGGCTTAGAGGAGAATGCTTAGTTAGTCTACTTTTACCATATGCTTGCTAGGGAGGCAGTGGGTCTATTCTCTTTTTTATTATTTCCCCTACAATGGGTCCCCGGAATCCATACGAAGACTATTCGTCTTTAAGTTTACCGTGCACCCTTGTGTTCTATTACGAGAGAGAGACAGAGAGAGAGAGAGAGAGAGAGAGAGAGAGAGAGAGAGACTGGGAGAGAGACTGGGAGAGAGAGAGAGAGAGAGAGAATGCAAAGAAAGAAGAATGAGAAGTCTTTTTCAAATACATGAAACATTTGAGAGGGGACTTGAATCTACAAGCACAGGAACTGTAGATGTTATCATAACCAGCTGGCCAGTAAATTTATTTGTTTTCGTTGTAGGCGCGTTCGGTATCTGCTGGTGTGCTATTTAGATTACAACTGACCTCTCTGTTACCTCAAAGACATAGAACAGCCAAGCTATCTTCAATTGGTTTGACTAGTAATTAAACTGCGTCCTGCTTTGTGCAATTCCACGTTTGAGACTTGGCTAGGGGCCAAGCTAACGGCATTGGCAAGCAAATGTGTTAAAAATGTACTTTCTCTATTCTGGCACACGCAACAGTCAAATGTAGACCGCTGGTTCATTGTGCACTTCCATGGCTTTGTACACGCGATTCGCGTTTACTTTCGAGAACATTTCTTGATTGCTCAAAATTGGTCAAAATTTCTTTCCTTAACTAGTCCTTGTTCATCGTTGACTATGACATCAGCGAGATCCACGCAGCCTTTCTTAGAAGCCACCTGTGCAATCTTACCCTATAAACAACGTAGCAGCATACGTCTATCCCCTTCTTACATCTCTGTAGAGCGCTGTTAATTTGTAGATGACTTCAGCCTAAATGAGAGCCACAGGGGTACCCAACACTGACCCTTGCTTCGCCAGAGCCACATCAGGCCACCTAAACCGACTCCGAAGCAACTGTTACCTACCCCGGGAGAGCAATGAGGGCGAAGTCATTTTTGCCTTTATGGTTCACGTGAGTCTTAGTTAGTAAAGCTTAGAGAATTAAAGAAGCCAAAAATAATGATTAACTCGTTACATACTACTTGCAGTTTATCCTCGATAGAATTATATTGTTACCAAAGCATGTAGCTTGTCTTCTTCTGACGCAGGCAATATTCATTTGCATAATGTGGTCAACATCAAGCTGCCCACTCCCCCACGTGGGTTCCGGGGCCCCATTGTGGGGGAAAACAAGAATAGACCCACTGCCTCCCCAAAAGCATGTCGTAAGAGTCTACTAATTGGGGAGCTTCCTTTGAAGTCGGAGTGCATCTGCCGGAGAGGCAAGGAACCAACAGTCTGTATTCAAGAGAATAAGATCTCTAAAACTGATGCACACGCAACACTCAGGTTCTTAAACAGGACTGCAGTTAAGTAGTGGACGAGCAACCAGAACTTTCCTCCAGAATGTACAGCTGGTGAACGCGAAGAAAAAGAAGCTGTTTACTTTTATTTCCAAGGACATTTTCGTGTACCTATTTTAGGCTGAGTCGACCTTTGAGTCGAGCTCAATTTTGAAATAAAATGTCTCGATACCTATTTTAACCCATGACATTCGAGCCGTTAGCCGAGTGTCTAGCCACTATTTTATGACGGCTCCCATGTATAGTCATGGCCGCTTGAATTAAGTCTATCATGTCACGTTTTTTTTTTTTTTTTTTTCAGTCACAAAAAAATCTCAGCTGAACTTTAAAAGTAAAAACTACACATTTTCAACATAGATTCCATTTGCTTGAAGTAACAAAATGGCAGGTGATGAAGCAGCAGTGTCGGATACAAATTCGTTGAAGCAGTTATATCTAGAGTTTAGTGGGAGCACGTCCATGCACGGTATTGGTCGAGCTCTGTCCAACAGCAGCACATGGAAGCGATGTGTGTGGTCAGTAATGTTTCTGTTTGGCTTGGGATTTGCAGTCTATCAGTTTGTGATCACCATGCAGGACTTCTATACTTATCCAGTGAACACCGTGGTCACCTTGAAACACGAAACCACAGCAATTTTTCCAGCGGTTACAATCTGTAACCTAAATACAAACAGGAAGTCGATGATCGATTCGGATCTGCTAGCAGCGCTCGAATCACTGGAAGAGGTGATTATGTTTATAAATATGTGCACCCGTCTGTCTGTCTACAATACGTCTTATCATTACTATAGCGAAGCCTCTTAAACACGAATTATGACAGAAAACTAAACAATTCGTATTTTTTTTTTAAAAAACATTTGCACTAACCGGGCATTTATAGACATATTATTAAAAAAAAACACTCCCTGTTGAGACAAACATTTTATTTGTGTTAAGAGACTTTTTATCCTAGTGAAGATCGCGTTAACAATATTTCATTGCAATAATATTACTATTGCTCATTTAAACAAAGCTTAGAAAATTTATGTTGGCCGAAATCCCCTACTTTTGTCAACGAACCTGCCAGGCGTGGCTTGCTATAAAAAGAGTAAATAAAAAGGTTAACTCTTTCAGAGAATGCAACTGGACAAAAAATGGACTTCCTTCTTTACAAATCTACATTTGTGAATGTATTTTTTAAATGTAGGCATAGTATATTCGGTATTTTTCTATTCTTATTCAGGCTTCATTATGGTATACCTGGTTGTACGATATTTGAATGGAAAGCTTACTTTTTTGAGTTGATTTAAGAAACCAGCATCACAGCACTCGAAACATTCCCACAAGTTCTCTGTCCCCATCCTCAGTAGACTGCGCAGAGTTCCCAATACCCGTGGTGCCTTTCCTCTGAGCCTCGAGTAGCGACTAGAACCCCTCTTCACTTCAAATTACACCACTCTCACCTGACTTTAGTGATCCATTTGCTTCTGTTAGCTTTTTCCAACACCTCAGTGTTTATGATCTTGTCCTACCACTTAATGGCGAGTATTCTTCTCAAGCATTTCATGTGAAAGATATTTAGCCGTTTCTCCTGGTGCGAATAAGCTGACCAAGTTACATTGCCATAAAACAGAGTGCTGAGAACACAAGCCTGATAGACAAGGGTTTTTGATTTGATGCTGAGCTTTCTGTTCGCTCAAACTCTTTTTGTAAATCTGTTCATTGTAGTTGCTGCCTTGTCTATCCTGCTGTTGATTTCCTTTTCCAGCGTTAAGTAAACCTGATTAACAACGGCTAATTATTCAAGCACTGAAATGTGCTTGAATTAAACCTATATTCCTAACCACAGGGGCAAAAAGAGCTCAAGAAAGAACGTGCCGGTCAGTTTGGCAATATACTGTTGAACAACATATAACTAGGGACTTTATTATGGTGGTAGGTAACGATACGCAGTACTGGCACTATTTTAGGTATCATTTTTCCCCCAGCTCTATTGTAATAGACAGTTTGCGATGAGCACAGACAACTTCTTTTTAGTTTAGTTAACTCAACGGATCTACATCATGGCACACGGATGTAATCATATAAGTGTTCCTTTCTTCTTCTTACTTTAGCCTGAGTCTGAATAATTGCGCAGCGCACAAACTCCGTTGCACGAGCGAGGATCCTGAATTAATCTTTGGGTACACGTTTACCTCCAAATTTTTTCCGGACAGCGCCGTTAGGCTACTCTGTTCGATTTCCAACTGCCAAGGCATTTTTTACGTGCGCAACAAAACAACTGGGTGTCTGGTCTTACTACCAAGATCAGAGAAAATTACTAAAAACCAAGGGAAAAAAATTCCAGCTTTCACCGGGGTTTGAAACCGGGACCTACAGCACTTGGGGCGGATGCCATACCTTGAGACCCCTTTCCCCTCTGCCCTCGAACAAACTCCTATGAACAACAAATTTTTAACAGCGCTGAAAATAAGAAACCCCCCTATGATAAGTGTTGAGTAATTTGTGTGTTTTGTTTATTTAATCTGTATTTAATCAAGGATCCAAATCACAACATTTAGGTCCATTTGCATCAACTTTTTATGTTTATATTCGTCAGGGCGTATTGTTGGCTTGTCGGTACAAATTAACCTTACGCACGTTTATCTATATTAATGTATATAGTGTATTTTTCTTGTGTCACTCAGCAGTCAGCATTGAAACCCTTAGCTGGCTGTTAGAGATAAGACTGAGCCCTTAAGGGAGGGTTCCGAGTGTTGTGATGTCAGTTCAAAGCTCAACACGTAAATCACCTCTTATTTCATATTTCACTGTGTCCCATCCAGTTGTTACATTTGCCCATTTTGCCTTAAACAGCACTCCTAATTTTCTGTGTCGAGTGTTTTTTTTTTTTTTAACTTACCGAGATGCAAACAGTTACTAGCTAAAATAACATCATAAGACAAAATGACCTATAATATTATTGTTGTTTAATATTTAATTAAAAATCGACAATACGGCACTCGGAACATTCACTTAAGCGCTCCGTCCCCATCTTCAGCAGCAAGAGCAGAGTTCCAATACCAGTGGTACTAATGGCAGTCTTGAATATCTGCCACCTTGCCCTTCATCTACCCCTGGTCACTCCTCGCAGTACCATTTTCTCCAGACCATGATGATCCATCTGTGCTTCGGCACTATTCACCCCTCCCCCCCCCCTCCCCGAAGGACCCTTACAACATCTAGCTTGTCGTTCATCAGTTGACGACCCAGTTGTGCAGGACCAGCAAGACTATCTGCCTGTTTTTTTTTTTTTTTCTTAGACTATTGCATCTTAGAAATATTAGAAGAGGGATCATGTAATAATTTGATCACATCTTGCACAAAAATATGTTTCAATTCTACTCATTTTTTTTGTGTTTTGTTTTGTATGTGTGCTTTACCAGACAGAAGAGGCTCCAGAGGAGGCTATTCTGAAAGGGCTGTTGCAGAACGATTACACTGGCGTCGAGTCAGGGCATCAGATGTCAGACATGCTGATCAAGTGTTTGTTCAACAGAGTGAGTATGGCAATATTGGGATTAGGGTAGACGCCACTGCAACTTCCTGGAGGTTCATAGGCTTGTGTTACTAACCGTAATCTTTCCAATAACAACATTCTATAGTGCGTTCCAATCTTATACTATCACGCTTTAACAAGTATCTCGAAAACTAGTGTGCGAATGGAGACGAATATTTGCATGAGGCCTTAGATTTCCCATGTCTGTATGATTCTGTAATTTACAACTGCGCAGATCCTGCTGTTGTCTTAAGGCGGCAAAGTTATCTGATCTTTGTTTGACTATAAAAGCGCTCTAAAATAGAATATACAGTAACTGACACACGTGGGGAGATTGTTTGGAAATCAGTTTACATGCGCAGTGTAGTGTTTTTTTTTTTGGGTGGTAGTCTATTCCCCATTCAGTGAGAAATCCGCAGCTGATGGGATACTTATGCTGGAGATGACCACCTAAGAGTGAAGCGCCTATGATACTTGTGCAGTCTGATGTAAACTCAAGTTATTGAAAGCTTGCTGATTATTAGCTTTGAATCGGTGTCTGTGTTTTTCATATACCGCAAATAAGGAAATAAAAATTTGATGTTTGTTTACATAACGAAAAAAAAAAAAAAAAAGGATTTACACCGACATGACTATTAAGGGGAACAATGAATAGGGTACCAGAAAAGAAAATCTACACGTGAAATGCCTTGTCTCTGCAAGGTCATTAACAACATTAGATGAGACAGGATTATAAATACCAGAATTAGAGAGAACGTTGGAATAAGAGCATTATTTGTTATATTGACAGACAAAGAATGAAATGGTTCAGGGAAGAGACAAGAAAGATCAAGAATGACTAAACTGAGGAGAGAACAGAAGGACAGCTACAAAAAAAAAAAAAAAAAACGCCAACAGTTGACATTATTGTTGACATGCGGCATTATTGTAAAAATCAGTCTTTCGCTAAAAAATCGACTTCTTGCAAAACTGAAATAAACAAATTATGTGTGTCAATATAGCCAAGTGTCTGAAACTATTCAAAAACTTTTCCAATAAAAGAGAGCATTTCAACCAATTTTGCACAGATGTTTTTTTTTTCTCAACGTCTCTACCAGCAAAGAGATAGGAGACAGGTACTAAAGAGGAGAAGACTTACATTGAATAAACTTTGAAAATTTTGAAGAAGAACTATTCACTTGGTTGAAAAAAAAAAAATAAAATGATCGTCAGTTTGTCATTCTACTTTCAATTTATTATGAATACCAGCATTACAGAGAACTTTGGAAGAAGACCATGTTTGGGTTATATTGACTGACAAAGAATGAAATTGTTCAGGGAAGAGACAAGAAAGATCTAGAATGCCTAAACTGAGGAGGAAGAGAAGGACATGATGTTTTTAACAGCTTTTGATAAGTTGTTGCCATTTTGCAGTATGCCTGTTCTATATTTTATAAAACATCTTAGAATTGTGTGCATCTCATGAATGGTGATCTGGTAACAGGGAACAAATAAACAGGACAGCTAAGGCTCCCTATAGGAACATATGCACATCACAAGTAAAAGATAAGCGACGTCTAAGACAAGACCAGCACTGGTATAATAGGGTATCAACGTTTTTATGTGGACTATGTCTGTGTCGGCGTCAGTGGCTTAGGCGTTTCGAACGCGCTTCGTAATACCGGTATGCCGGATTCAATCCCAGGTGCGGAGATTTGTCTTGCACTAGTTTCAACAGTGGTACCTAGAGCTAACCGTTCAGGAGCAATGACAAACTACTCAACGTAAAATTTGCCTAGAAAAACAACAACAAACAATAAATTCTTAAGTTGGTTCTGCAACGTACTGAAAAGGATATACAACTAAATTGTTTTCTGTAGCAGACACTACCACTTACGCATTTTACGTTACATCAGCTGTTTCTCAATCCAGCGGTACATCTCCCTAATCCATAGGACCGATGGTTGCCTATATATATATATATATATATATATATATATATATATATATATATATATATATATATATATATATATATATATATATAGGCGCAGTTTAATGACCTTGTTTAAATAGACTATGATTCCCATGTCAGCTCAGCCCAACATGGGTTCTAGGTAAAGTCCTGGGAGACAAAGGAGGCCTGGCAATGTTGATTAAATCGCACACGGAGTGTCTATTGACCCAAAAATATGTCTAGCACCATTTGCACATTACGCCCAAGCCCGCAGAGAAGGGCTCCCTACTTTAACGACAAGAAATGATAACCTGTCAGTTAAGCAATTAATAAATAATTACATTACATTTTCAGCCCTCTGGGGAAAACCCAGTTGGTTACTGGGCAGCAAAACCCATGGTATGTGGAAACCACGTGACCTTGCCGGTCACATTATCCTTTTATGTTGTCAAGGTACTCGCAGAGTCTGACAATGGCCTGTCAAACTTGAAAAGCTTCGGTCCCGGGAGTGTCCTTCCTTAACACATACATGGCTCGACTGCTGCTGTCTGGGAAAGGTTGGGCTGGGTGTATCTCCTGAACAATATAAGGAAATAAACAGATACACATAACTGGGGTGGCCTCTGTGTTGCGCGTCCTCCATGGTTTCGGCGTTGTGAGTCCGACTCGTAATTCCAATACACCACGATCGAAACCCACAGCTGGCTGCGTGGTTTTTCATCATGTTTTAGGGCATCGATAGTCGACCCAGCAGAAATGGGTACTAGGATGTATGTCCTGGGGAGGTAAAGTCGGCAATGCTGACCAAATTACCCACCCAATGCCTATTGGATGGTAAAAATATGGGTGCTCTTCCCATAAGCCCGATGCGGCTAAAGGTGTAAAAAGGGATCTTCATTTTACTGTGCTTTTACATGATATTGCCTCTAAGATTTCATATTGTTTTCAGTTTCACAATTTTCTAATTTCAGCTGCCTTGCTCGGAGGCCAATTTCTCACTTTCGAATACAGTAAGCTACGGTACATGTTATACTTTCCAAATCGAGGACCCTCTTATTCAGTACGTGCAAATTAATTTAAATGTTTGTCAATTATCATTCTTATTGTCGTCATAATAGTCGTCTTCTTCTATCTTCTTCTTCTCTTCTTCTTTTCTTCTTCTTCTTCTTCTTCTTCTTCTTCTTCTTCTTCTTCTTCTTCATCTTCTTCTTCTTCTTCTTCTTCTTCTTCTTCTTCTTCTTCTTCTTCTTCTTCTTTTCTTCTTCTTTCTTCTTCTTCTTCTTCTTCTTCTTCTTCTTCTTCTTCTTCTTCTTCTTCTTCTTCTTCTTCTTCTTCTTCTTCTTCTTCTTCTTCTTCTTCTTCTTCTTCTTCTTCTTCTTCTTCTTCTTCTTCTTCTTCTTCTTCTTCTTCTTCTTTCTTCTTCTTCTTCTTCTTCTTCTTCTTCTTCTTCTTCTTCTTCTTCTTCTTCTTCTTCTTCTTCTTCTTCTTCTTCTTCTTCTTCTTCTTCTTCTTCTTCTTCTTCTTCTTCTTCTTCTTCTTCTTCTTCTTCTTCTTCTTCTTCTTCTTCTTCTTCTTCTTCTTCTTCTTCTTCTTCTTCTTCTTCTTCTTCTTCTTCTTCTTCTTCTTCTTCTTCTTCTTCTTCTTCTTCTTCTTCTTCTTCTTCTTCTTCTTCTTCTTCTTCTTCTTCTTCTTCTTCTTCTTCTTCTTCTTCTTCTTCTTCTTCTTCTTCTTCTTCTTCTTCTTCTTCTTCTTCTTCTTCTCTTCTTCTTCTTCTTCTTCTTCTTCTTCTTCTTCTTCTTCTTCTTCTTCTTCTTCTTCTTCTCTTCTTCTTCTTCTTCTTCTTCTTCTTCTTCTTCTTCTTCTTCTTCTTCTTCTTCTTCTTCTTCTTCTTCTTCTTCTTCTTCTTCTTCTTCTTCTTCTTCTTCTTCTTCTTCTTCTTCTTCTTCTTCTTCTTCTTCTTCTTCTTCTTCTTCTTCTTCTTCTTCTCTTCTTCTTCTTCTTCTTCTTCTTCTTCTTCTTCTTCTTCTTCTTCTTCTTCTTCTTCTTCTTCTTCTTCTTCTTCTTCTTCTTCTTCTTCTTCTTCTTCTTCTTCTTCTTCTTCTTCTTCTCTTCTTCTTCTTCTTCTTCTTCTTCTTCTTCTTCTTCTTCTTCTTCTTCTTCTTCTTCTTCTTCTTCTTCTTCTTCTTCTTCTTCTTCTTCTTCTTCTTCTTCTTCTTCTTCTTCTTCTTCTTCTTCTTCTTCTTCTTCCTTCTTCTTCTTCTTCTTCTTCTTCTTCTTCTTCTTCTTCTTCTTCTTCTTCTTCTTCTTCTTCTTCTTCTTCTTCTTCTTCTTCTTCTTCTTCTTCTTCTTCTTCTTCTTCTTCTTCTTCTTCTTCTTCTTCTTCTTTCTTCTTCTTCTTCTTCTTCTTCTTCTTCTTCTTCTTCTTCTTCTTCTTCTTCTTCTTCTTTCTTCTTCTTCTTCTTCTTCTTCTTCTTCTTCTTCTTCTTCTTCTTCTTCTTCTTCTTCTTCTTCTTCTTCTTCTTCTTCTTCTTCTTCTTCTTCTTCTTTCTTCTTCTTCTTCTTCTTTCTTCTTCTTCTTCTTCTTCTTCTTCTTCTTCTTCTTCTTCTTCTTCTTCTTCTTCTTCTTCTTCTTCTTCTTCTTCTTCTTCTTCTTCTTCTTCTTCTTCTTCTTCTTCTTCTTCTTCTTCTTCTTCTTCTTCTTCTTTCTTCTTCTTCTTCTTCTTCTTCTTCTTCTTCTTCTTCTTCTTCTTCTTCTTTCTTCTTCTTCTTCTTCTTCTTCTTCTTCTTCTTCTTCTTCTTCTTCTTCTTCTTCTTCTTCTTCTTCTTCTTCTTCTTCTTCTTCTTCTTCTTCTTCTTCTTCTTCTTCTTCTTCTTCTTCTTCTTCTTCTTCTTCTTCTTCTTCTTCTTCTTCTTCTTCTTCTTCTTTCTTCTTCTTCTTCTTCTTCTTCTTCTTCTTCTTCTTCTTCTTCTTCTCTTCTTCTTCTTCTTCTTCTTCTTCTTCTTCTTCTTCTTCTTCTTCTTCTTCTTCTTCTTCTTCTTCTTCTTCTTCTTCTTCTTCTTCTTCTTCTTCTTCTTCTTCTTCTTCTTCTTCTTCTTCTTCTTCTTTCTTCTTCTTCTTCTTCTTCTTCTTCTTCTTCTTCTTCTTCTTCTTCTTCTTCTTCTTCTTCTTCTTCTTCTTCTTCTTCTTCTTCTTCTTCTTCTTCTTCTTCTTCTTCTTCTTCTTCTTCTTCTTCTTCTTCTTCTTCTTTCTTCTTCTTCTTCTTCTTCTTCTTCTTCTTCTTCTTCTTCTTCTTCTTCTTCTTCTTCTTCTTCTTCTTCTTCTTCTTCTTCTTCTTCTTCTTCTTCTTCTTCTTCTTCTTCTTCTTCTTCTTCTTCTTCTTCTTCTTCTTCTTCTTCTTCTTCTTCTTCTTCTTCTTCTTCTCTTCTTCTTCTTCTTCTTCTTCTTTCTTCTTCTTCTTCTTCTTCTTCTTCTTCTTCTTCTTCTTCTTCTTCTTCTCTTCTTCTTCTTCTTCTTCTTCTTCTTCTTCTTCTTCTTCTTCTTCTTCTTCTTCTTCTTCTTCTTCTTCTTCTTCTTCTTCTTCTTCTTCTTCTTCTTCTTCTTCTTCTTCTTCTTCTTCTTCTTCTTCTTCTTCTTCTTCTTCTTCTTCTTTCTTCTTCTTCTTCTTCTTCTTCTTCTTCTTCTTCTTCTTCTTCTTCTTCTTCTTCTTCTTCTTCTTCTTCTTCTTCTTCTTCTTCTTCTTCTTTCTTCTTCTTCTTCTTCTTCTTCTTCTTCTTCTTCTTCTTCTTCTTCTTCTTCTTCTTCTTCTTCTTCTTCTTCTTCTTCTTCTTCTTCTTCTTCTTCTCTTCTTCTTCTTCTTCTTCTTCTTCTTCTTCTTCTTCTTCTTCTTCTTCTTCTTCTTCTTCTTCTTCTTTCTTCTTCTTCTTCTTCTTCTTCTTCTTCTTCTTCTTCTTCTTCTTCTTCTTCTTCTTTCTTCTTCTTCTTCTTCTTCTTCTTCTTCTTCTTCTTCTTCTTCTTCTTCTTCTTCTTCTCTTCTTCTTCTTCTTCTTCTTTCTTCTTCTTCTCTTCTTCTTCTTCTTCTTCTTCTTCTTCTTCTTCTTCTTCTTCTTCTTCTTCTTCTTCTTCTTCTTCTTCTTCTTCTTCTTCTTCTTCTTCTTCTTCTTCTTCTTCTTCTTCTTCTTCTTCTTCTTCTTCTTCTTCTTCTTCTTCTTCTTCTTCTTCTTCTTCTTCTTCTTCTTCTTCTTCTTCTTCTTCTTCTTCTTCTTCTTCTTCTTCTTCTTCTTCTTCTTCTTCTTCTTCTTCTTCTTCTTCTTCTTCTTCTTCTTCTTCTTCTTCTTCTTCTTCTTCTTCTTCTTCTTCTTCTTCTTCTTCTTCTTCTTCTTCTTCTTCTTCTTCTTCTTCTTCTTCTTCTTCTTCTTCTTCTTCTTCTTCTTCTTCTTCTTCTTCTTCTTCTTCTTCTTCTTCTTCTCTTCTTCTTCTTCTTCTTCTTCTTCTTCTTCTTCTTCTTCTTCTTCTTCTTCTTCTTCTTCTTCTTCTTCTTCTTCTTCTTCTTCTTCTTCTTCTTCTTCTTCTTCTTCTTCTTCTTCTTCTTCTTCTTCTTCTTCTTCTTCTTCTTCTTCTTCTTCTTCTTCTTCTTCTTCTTCTTCTTCTTCTTCTTCTTCTTCTTCTTCTTCTTCTTCTTCTTCTTCTTCTTCTTTCTTCTTCTTCTTCTTCTTCTTCTTCTTCTTCTTCTTTCTTCTTCTTCTTCTTCTTCTTCTTCTTCTTCTTCTTCTTCTTCTTCTTCTTCTTCTTCTTCCTTCTTCTTCTTCTTCTTCTTCTTCTTCTTCTTCTTTCTTCTTCTTCTTCTTCTTCTTCTTCTTCTTCTTCTTCTTCTTCTTCTTCTTCTTCTTCTTCTTCTTCTTCTTCTTCTTCTTCTTCTTCTTCTTCTTCTTCTTCTTCTTCTTCTTCTTCTTCTTCTTCTTCTTCTTCTTCTTCTTCTTCTTCTTCTTCTTCTTCTTCTTCTTCTTCTTCTTCTTCTTCTTCTTCTTCTCTTCTTCTTCTTCTTCTTCTTCTTCTTCTTCTTCTTCTTCTTCTTCTTCTTCTTCTTCTTCTTCTTCTTCTTCTTCTTCTTCTTCTTCTTCTTCTTCTTCTTCTTCTTCTTCTTCTTCTTCTTCTTCTTCTTCTTCTTCTTCTTCTTCTTCTTCTTCTTCTTCTTCTTCTTCTTCTTCTTCTTCTTCTTCTTCTTCTTCTTCTTTGTCTTCTTCTTCTTTGTCTTCTTCTTCTTTTCTCCTCTCTTCATCATCATGTTTTTTTGTTTTCCGCTTACCTTCTCATTAGTCTAGTCTAGGCTAGACGCCTGCCAGCGGATCTGAAGGTCGTGGGTTCGCGTCCTGACGGAGCCGGCATTTTCTTCGAAAATAGCCTTGACTCCCAGGTCGTCCCAGCCTTGAGGGGGTACAAGGTGCAGTCATGTTAAGTAAAGGCGGCCGGCGTGATGCTGACCACATCACCTACCAAGTGCAGATAGTCTATAAAAATATAGATCTAGTCCTATATTCGCAATTCGCGGCTGACAAGTAATGCTTTTCTTATTCTTTTTTTTTTGGCTTCTGTATAGTCTTCTTGTCTGGTGAAACCCAACTTGGTGTTCTTGTAGTCTGGTCATGGTTGCAGATTTCAAGTTACTTGGCTCTAGCAGTCGTCTTACTTATCGCAGAGCATTCAGTACATCAGCCTGGTCCATGCCTGGTCGGCCTTTTACAGTAGCCTTGCGGGGTATTCTATCAGCTTGCCCATTTCTGCGTTCCCCAGCACGAACATGAAACTGATCTTTGTCAGCTCCGACCCCCTAAAAGACACGAATGACAGTCTTCTGATCCAACCCATTTTTGTCTTTCGGATCGAACTCATTGAGTCACTGAGCAAGTATGCGGGCTTAAAAGTCTGTGTCTCTAGCCATCTAATTGCATTGGTCATCACTATGACCCTCATAGTCAGACTACTTGTAATCAAAACAAAAGCACTATAATCTTCCCCTATAACTCTTTCTACGACTTAGGCCATAAAATCTAACGAGCTTCTCTCGTGACGAACAATAGTCCCTGTGTGTAAATGACAGCATATTCTTCTAGAACATTCTCGCAAATAAAGGCCTGAATTTGTGTCTCCACAGGGCTGGGTTTTGCTGTCTGAATTTGTGTCTAGTCGGACGCAATCAGAACAGCTCGTACAGCACTCTGTTGACGCTTGAAACCATTCTTCTCCAGGTGCTATGTCCTCAAGTGATTACACCTGCTGAATAATGTCGTTGGCCTAACTTATCAATAATGTTCCTCTTTTTATTTAACCTGCTGCCCATTTTCTGTGTGTCTGCGTTGACTTTGAGGTAGGCAAGTGCTCGACAAATTTATAATTTGTCCTCCATGATAAGAATATAAAGAAGATAAACTGCAATAAAAATATCTTATGCAATAAATCGCTTTCCTTTAATGCCAGAAAAAGGGTGCTAAAATGTTACATAGAACCTGTTCTGTTGTATGGTAGCGAATCTTGGAATATTAGGAAGAATTTTGAAGCAACAGAGATGTGGTTTCTGAGACAAAAGTTACAAATACCTTGGACGGCCAGAGCAACTAACAACGATTGCTTGAAAGAAGCTAATGAAAGCAAATCTCTATAAACAACAATAAGAAAGAGACAGACATTGTTATTTGGCCACATAATGAGAAGCGAGACTTCGGAGAACATTGTGACAGCTCGAAAAATCAGTGGGAAAAGGGGTAGAGGCAGACCAAGAGAGATATGATGCTAGATGGACTTTAACGATGGCATAGAGAGATATCGTCAAGAAAGCTGTTCCAGGCTACTAGGGATCGTGATCTGTGGAGATGCATGAGCGCCTACGCCAGTTGGCAGGACACATGGTGACGATGATGATGAGATCATAGTCTCACATTTACGACCATTCTCAAATTACCACAACTACCGATAGTTTCACAAAAAAATTGTTCCTCCTGGATTGCGTAAAGACGCAGTGACTTAAAGAGCCACTACAGGGGTGTCTGAAGTTAAGAGCAGAATACGCCAGGTTGTGCATTTCACATAACGAAGAACATCTTGTGCAAAAGGTCCCTCTCTTTGGAAGAGAGTAATAAAATGTTATGTAGAACCCATATGGTAGTGAATCATGGAATGTGAATACACAATTAGAAGAAATTTGCAGGCGATCGAGGTATGGTTTTTCAGAAGTATGTGAAGAATCCCTCGGACTGCCAGAGTAACTAACAAGGATGGCTTGAAGAAAGCTAATAAAAGCACATTGTTGAAGTGGGGGTGGGGGTTGTTAGAGATTATTATGACGACTGGGAAGATCAACCCTAGACGATGGAGAGGCAGACCCAGAGCGACGATGACGAAAGGACACTGACCGTGGCATGAAGGGATATCATCGGCGAAACTGAGCGAGAGGACAAGCGATCAAGATCTGTTAAGATGCATATGCTATGAGTGGGGTGTGATTTCAACAGTAACAACTTTTCATAATCCCAATAACAGTATTATACGGAAGTATTAGATCACCAAAGTTATGAAGTAACCTCAAGTTCATAGTGGGTGGCATTCTCTTCAATTACACTCATAGTCTTGTAGTTGCACACAATATCATTGTAGTATGGTATAGGGCAGGTTTCAGTGCAGAATAATGAGTAAGCAAAGGACCCTTTTTCCCGCCTTTGGGCGTACTGGGCATATAGGGCTAGGCCTATAATTTATAGACAAACTGGCATTAGGTTGGTGAGGTGGTCAGTATCATGCCGGCCGCCTTTACTTCCTAGGACCGAACCTAGTAACCACTCTTGACTGGGTCGTCCTGAGAGCCAAGGTATTTCTGAAAGAAGGTATTGCTTCAACAGGACCCGAACTCACTATCTTCCGATCTGCAGGCGAGAGTCTAGCCGATAGACCAATAATCAGTAGGCAGGCTGTTATCTAATATTTTATATAATAATTTTGTTTCAAACGGACTGTCGGGAGTCGGAAGATAAGTCCTCGGAAGATAAGTCCTGTTTTAAAAATGCATTAGTAATGTTGAACACTTCTAACCTGGGGAGATAGTGACAACAGTGGCTCCCAGGTCGAAGATCGTTACTAGGTGTGAAGTCTTAGTCCAAATTATTGATTAGTAACTGGATAATAATCACAGACGACTTGATTTCCCAGAATAGCGAGGATGACTCGGAGATACATATTAAGAAAATTCCCATCTACAGTTCAGCCAATGTTTATTAACTTTTGCCAACGCTTCACATGACAACATGTAGATAATGACATACAACAGTCCGTCAGTTGATTAGGCTCTGGTTATGACAGGAACCCAAGGTTAGGCCAAACTCGTTGCGCTATCCATAACCCTTGCTCCTTGAGTGGCTCCTATGTCCGGCCAAAGGTCTTGCCTAACGTATTTTCAAAGCTTAGTCTTCTGGGACCAACGCAAGATTTTTCACTGCGTGTTGGCTGAATGCTTCTCATCCTTTCCCTGATATATCTGGCGATGGAAAACAAACAGTCGCTCTCCTGGCTTCACATGGACACTCGATATCTCTTCCTAGCTTGCCTCTGTGGGTCGAACTGCTTCTTGTGCCCACCTCACGCTCCTCTTTACTCAGACTACACTGCTGCATCCTGAACCAACTTTGCTGGTCTCAAAACCTGGTCAAAGTCTTAACTTCCCACAATTGTCCTCACTCACACTAAACATGTCTATGGAAAAATCGGTACAAGTTACTTGTACACGTTTTAAATATTATGAGTTTACACTACTCTTATCTTCACTAGCGAGTCCTATAACAAAAGTATTTGTGTTAAAATGAGAAACATCATCAAAGCCGAATCGTTGGGAATAATTTTGAGAACTTATTGAAACTGAAATATTGCTAACACACCGAACAACCACAGACTATAAAAAACTGCAGTAGAATCCACGAAGCAGAACCAATGACGAATCGCAGAAGAATCCACGAAGCAGAACCAATGACGAATCGCATAAGAATCCACGAAGCAGAACCAATGACGAATCGCAGTAGAATCAAAGAACCAAAGAACATCGAATAAGTCTTGATCAGGTCTGAATATAGCTGACCACTGTTAGGGGCGGTGGGCGGTGGGCGGTGGGCGAGTGTGCACAGGGGGTTAGATCTCTATTCGTGCTACATGGAGTTCTGGGGTTTTAACATCCTCGTGAGCTTTATCTGTTAGTAGAGTTTGGGGTATAGTCTGTTTCAGCTAAACGAACTTGTGTTTGAGATAAACAAATCTTGACTAACTATATAGTCTGTTTCTAAATTGACTTCTATAGTTAATGCAGTCATTATAATACAGGCCACCTTTTACTTTCAAGTACCATCCATTACGCAACAGTTTCTGCACTTTTTCCAGCAGTAATACTAATAGAAACGTAAAATACCTAATACACACAATTCCTTTTTGACTGCAGGTATGTAACTAGACCCGGCCCAAAAAATGGTTTGATACTGGAGCTCAACATCGAGCAATACGAATATCTGCCTACAACTTCTTCAGCTGGGGTGAATGTCATGGTACATCCACTCAACGAAATTCCATTTCCTGAAGATGGTGGGATTTTAGCACACCCAGGTGCCGTGACCAGGGTTGGGATTAAACAGGTAACTATGATTCCTTGATGTTCTTTGAATGTAGTATTGTAAAGTAATTTACTATAGTGAGAGACATTTTTGCCAGTATTTTCTTCTTCTTCTGTGTTTCCGCTTTAAAATAGTCGACACTTTGTCTTGTGACTTCTGGTTCACAGTTTACCAGCAATATTTTTATTACGACGTGGCCTTAACTGTTAAGGGTTCTGGCTCCAAGAGGAATTAAGCGCACAAGAAGAAGAAGTAGAAGAGGAGGAAGAGGATTAAGAAGAAGATGATGAATAGAAGAACAAGAAGAAGAGGAAAAATAAAAAAGAGGTAGAAAAAAAAAGAAAAAAAACGTGTTTGTTCTTATCCTTCTTTCACTCACCCCGCTTCTTTCCCACACACAAAAACAACATGTTTATTATTAACTTTGTAAAACATTAATAAATCTCCCCTAAACGTCTTCTTTAGTTTAAGTCGGTTTCTTGATGTGTGGTTTATAGTCAAACTGTAACATCTTCGCCTTCCGACCCAGTACGTTTGATTTCAGCAAATCCTTCGTTAGTCGGCTTTAACAACATATCTTCTAGAGACAGTGGGTCAGCCCTTTCCCATTTCCAATATAAAAGCTGGGTCTTGGAATCCACACAGGGATTGGGGAAATATACCTGCTACTGACATTTGACTTAACACAACATATTCTTTGGAAGTTTACCGAAAGGAAAGACATTCAGACAAGTTTTGATTAAAGTCATTATGGTGAGTAAAAACACAAAAACAAATTAGTTTTTAACAAATCTAAAATGACACAACCCCACAGGCAGGTAATCAATACAAAAACAAAGGCAACCTTCTAAGCTCTTAAACTGTTTCTGTTCTCTGGATTCACCCTTATCAAGTCCTTTGCCGACTAGAATAGACGACCTAGCCTTTCCTTAACGTGCGATCTGCATCTGTATGTATCAGTTCCTGTGCTGACACCCCTCCACACCGACGAGACATAAGGCTGTCAGGAACCTTCTCACTTTGTCTTTCTCTGTCTCTCTTTTCCACAGATCGTTCTAGTCGTCATAACATACCGTAATTTCCTATCTCTTATGATGTGTCTCCAGCCAGACCATTGCCTCAGCTACTGCAATGACCTCTGTAGCCAGACTACTAGTGGCATCAAAAACTTCCCTTATAGACCTCCAACCTGGGCGGTAAAAGACCGTTGTTTCTGACGTGTCAAACCACAGACCCATCTGTATAAATAACTATGTCAAGACCATGTGATAATTTATTTGCTGAGTTAATACAGTGTATAATCTTCACTATTTGTTGCAGGAAATAACACAACGATTGCCATCACCTTACAGCAACTGTATCAGTGCAAACGGACAAAGCAGCTCGCAGCGTAGTTTCTTCCAAAATACGAAGTATATGCAAAATGCATGCATGAAATCCTGCTATCAGATGAGACTGTATGAAACGTGTGGATGTTGTGACGTAGACCTGCCATGTAACTATTATGACATTCTGAGTATAGATAGGACAACAACAGAAACAAATAACAGTCTGCCATTGTGTGAGACCTTTGATGATTTCCTATGTAAAATTGAGGTCGAGATTCTCTTCTTAAAAAGTGAACTGGATTGCGATGAACGCTGTCCTCCTGTTTGTGCTAGCACCACATATCATACAGTCGTCTCGACTGCACAATGGCCTCCTGACTCCAAAATTGAGATTTTCTTAGACACTGCAAAAAGCACTTTCTTGCAAAACGTGTCTTTTACGGAGAATAATTCTTCTGAAAAATTTATCCGCTCCAACTTGTTAAGGCTTGAAATCTTTTTGGATAGTTTGGAGTTCAAAGAATTCACCACACAGGCTAAGTACGACTGGAACTTGCTGCTAGGAACTATTGGTGGGCTTCTGGGGCTAGGATTGGGGTTCTCTTTGTTAACTGCCATGGAAATAGTCGAGGTGCTGATTGAGACTGTCTTGTATTGCGCACACAGAAAGTACCAGAAGAAAAAGAACATGCAAATATGACATACTAGATGACACCAACAAAACTTTGCCGTTTGATGTTGTTAGTATCACGTGAAATAAAAGTCTATACAGGTATCATTATCGTCATCATGAGCAGTATTATGATCCTCATTATAAACACCACAATCATCATATGTCATGCATAAAAGTGGAGGAGGTTATGATTCGATATCTCACACGATCACCATTTACACGGATCGGGTTTATGCATTTTTCCTGACCTCAAGTTATTGAGTCTGGTCCTTGTCATGTGGCCAAAACCTTTTACAATATTAAATTTCACTAATCACTTCACGGCTTTAAACTATAAAACGAGGAAGATATTCTTCTTTCAGTCGGTCATGCTCTTTGTATTCGTGTGAACACCCCCCCCCCCCACCCCTCTCTTTTTTTTTCTAAGTTCGTCAAAATGGATCTACCATTATCTAAGTCTTACATAACAATACATGATCTTACATTGTAAAATGCACAGTTGCGCAAGCTAATCCTTTACTTCTTTGCGTTCGTTTTCGTTTTCTCAGATCAGACTGTCAGGCAGGTCGCCTCTATGAATTCGCATATCAGCAACAGGTTCGTCACTGTTCCCCATAGCTTGCTCTGCACACTTTGTTCTTGAGGCCAGGTGTCTTTTCGAAGTTGCAATTAGGGTGAACAGGTCTGCAAAATGTGCTCAGGTGTTTGTGGTCCTGTTTGACAGGCATGCTGTGGGGACTTTAAAATCGTTATTTTATGCATCTGGTAGTTTAGCCTGCAGTTTCCTGTTCGTAGATGGACAAATGTTGTATGCTACTTTCTGTTTAATCTGCTGATGGAGTCTCACGGATGTTCACTGTTAGTTTGTTCTCTCTACAATTCCTAGTATTTTCCCCTGCTAAGTGTTCTGATTTCTGGCAATTTTATGCAAGCTAAATTAAAAATGTCAAATGTTGAAAATGAAACGTATATTTTCATTATTATTATTGTTATTATCCTTGTCACCACCCTTGTGTACTTTTATATGTCACAAAGGACCAGCAGTCCATTCTTCCATTCACATCTATCCTGTGCTGTGGTTGCAGTATCATGAAGTGAATCCAGTCCGGTACTTTTACCTCATTATTCAACGTTTATCTTAGAGTTTCTTAGACGTCTTCTTTCCTCAACCCAATTGTTTCCCATTTCCTTGGTGCTTTGATAACTCTCAGCCCGTTTCTTTTCGCTTTGTGTCCAATTTATCGCCACATTCTTTGTCTTTTAACACATGATTCCTGCGGTTGTCCAGACATTTCTTGCCCTGTTAAATTTATTCTTGCTAATGGTCGATGTGTGTGTCACCAGGGTCCTCACAGGAAGCCAACAATAGTAACACATGCACCTTATCAGGCATGTCGTAAGATGGCGACTAAGGCTAGTATTGGGCTACCTCCTCCTCTAAAAACAATAGCAAAAACAAAAACAAAAAAGTCTAAAAGAGAAACAAGAAAAACACAGCAAACCAAGATGAGTTTCTAGTAGAAGAGGTATGACACTCGTCTCCACTTCACTCTACAATGTAGTTAAAGAACTAGGATTGCGCGGTAATGAACGGAAACCGACGCTTAAACAGCTGGGCGAGGTTGCTGAGTGGCTTTGGACGCAACGGAACAACGTAGGGGACGGGCCTCGGTGAGCTGGTCCGGGTTTCTAGTGAAAAAGAGTTTCTCATCCCTTGAAAGTCCATCGTGTACGAATTGTCTGCCAGTGTTCCTCTGCCACCTGCTAACAAAAGTCCAACATGCATCCGGTATACCAATCGTAAGCTTGTCGCTCGGTCGTCCAGGTATTCAGACTGCTCTAATTATGCTACCGCGACGACTTCTTATCTCACAGTACCTTCTGCAAAATCACCAAGTCGTCTTGTCCTATCCGAACAACATCTGGTAATTTTGTGCAGAAGGGACACCAACCCTGAGCTTCATGAACTCAGGTGGGCCCACTCTCTGAAAACGTCTAGGAGTTCGTGGGCCGAGACGTTTGTGGACGAGAGATTACTTCTACTGACGATTGGTAGATCCCTGCTGTACATGCTCCAGTGTGGAGTTTATTCCTATCAGAAATTTGAAGCTACAAATACTCATATCTATGTGTGTGTGTACATGTTTGTATGTATGTATGTATGTATGTATGTATGTATGTATGTATGTATGTATGTATGTATGTATGTATGTATGTATGTATGTATGTATGTATGTATGTATGTATGTATGTATGTATGTATGTATGTATGTATGTATGTATGTATGTATGTATGTATGTATGTATGTATGTATGTATGTATGTATGTATGTATGTATGTATGTATGTATGTATGTATGTATGTATGTATGTATGTATGTATGTATGTATGTATGTATGTATGTATGTATGTATGTATGTATGTATGTATGTATGTATGTATGTATGTATGTATGTATGTATGTATGTATGTATGTATGTATGTATGTATGTATGTATGTATGTATGTATGTATGTATGTATGTATGTATGTATGTATGTATGTATGTATGTATGTATGTATGTATGTATGTATGTATGTATGTATGTATGTATGTATGTATGTATGTATGTATGTATGTATGTATGTATGTATGTATGTATGTATGTATGTATGTATGTATGTATGTATGTATGTATGTATGTATGTATGTATGTATGTATGTATGTATGTATGTATGTATGTATGTATGTATGTATGTATGTATGTATGTATGTATGTATGTATGTATGTATGTATGTATGTATGTATGTATGTATGTATGTATGTATGTATGTATGTATGTATGTATGTATGTATGTATGTATGTATGTATGTATGTATGTATGTATGTATGTATGTATGTATGTATGTATGTATGTATGTATGTATGTATGTATGTATGTATGTATGTATGTATGTATGTATGTATGTATGTATGTATGTATGTATGTATGTATGTATGTATGTATGTATGTATGTATGTATGTATGTATGTATGTATGTATGTATGTATGTATGTATGTATGTATGTATGTATGTATGTATGTATGTATGTATGTATGTATGTATGTATGTATGTATGTATGTCTGTTCTGTCTGTTCTGTCTGTTCTGTATGTCTGTTCTGTCTGTCTGTTCTGTCTGTCTGTTCTGTCTGTTCTGTCTGTCCTGTCTGTCCTGTCTGTCCTGTTTGTTCTGTCTGTTCTGTCTGTCCTGTCTGTTCTGTCTGTTCTGTCTGTCCTGTCTGTCCTGTCTGTTCTGTCTGTTCTGTCTGTCCTGTCTGTTCTGTCCTGTCTGTTTTGCCTGTTCTGCCTGTCTGTTCTGTCTGTTCTGTTCTGTCCTGTCTGTTCTGTCTGTCCTGTCTGTCCTGTCTGTTCTGTCTGTTCTGTCTGTCCTGTCTGTCCTGTCTGTTCTGTCCTGTCTGTTTTGCCTGTTCTGCCTGTCTGTTCTGTCTGTTCTGTTCTGTTCTGTCTGTTCTGTTCTGTCTGTTCTGTTCTGTCTGTTCTGTTCTGTCCTGTTCTGTCCTGTTCTGTCTGTTCTGTTCTGTCTGTTCTGTTCTGTCCTGTTCTGTCTGTTCTGTTCTGTCTGTTCTGTCTGTTCTGTTCTGTCTGTTTTGTCTGTTCTGTTCTGTTCTGTCTGTTCTGTTCTGTTGTGTTCTGTCTGTTCTGTTGTGTTCTGTCTGTTCTGTTCTGTTCTGTCTGTCTGTTCTGTTCTGTCTGTTCTGTCTGTCTGATCTGTCTGTCTGGTCTGTCTGTCTGGTCTGTCTGTCAGGTCTGTCTGTCTGGTCTGTCTGTCTGGTCTGTCTGTCTGGTTTGTCTGTCTGGTCTGTTTGTCTGGTCTGTCTGTCTGGTCTGTCTGCCTGGTCTGCCTGCCTGCCTGTCTGCCTGCCTGTCTGTCTGTCTGTCTGTCTGTCTGTCTGTCTGTCTGTCTGTCTGTCTGTCTGTCTGTCTGTCTGTCTGTCTGTCTGTCTGTCTGTCTGTCTGTCTGTGTGTGTGTGTGCGCGCGTGCGCCTGTGTCTGTGTCTGTGTGTCTGTGTGTCTGTGTGTGTCTGTGTGTGTCTGTGTGTCTGTGTGTGTCTGTGTTTGTCTGTGTGTGTCTGTGTGTGTCTGTGTGTGTCTGTGTGTGTCTGTGTGTGTCTGTGTGTGTCGAAAAGTCTGTGTGTGTCTGTATGTCTGTATGTCTGTATGTCTGTATGGATGGATGGATGGATGGATGGATATATGGATAGATGGATATATGGATATATGGATGGATATATGGATATATGGATGGATATATGGATGGATATATGGATGGATAGATAGATGGATGGATAGATGGATGGATGGATGGATGGATGGATGGATGGATGGATGGATGGATGGATGGATGGATGGATGGATGGATGGATGGATGGGTGGATGGATGGATGGATGGATGGATGGCGTGTATGTTTGTATGTATGTATGTATGTATGTATGTATGTATGTATGTATGAGTGTATGCATGCATGAGTGTATGTGTACTGTTTAAAAAAAAAACAGAGAGAGAGAGAGACAGAAACGCATAGCTACTGAAAGAAAATCATATGTGCTCACAATTTTGACAATTTGCATCTTTATAACGCAATAATTGAAATTATCTAAATTTTACACAAGAATACTACAGGATTTTGCCAATCGTTTAACACAATTTCTTTGCATCTGGTTCAAGATAATTTTTAGGCGTATGGCCTTTCCCTTTAGTATGGCTTTCTTTTGCACCCCCTGGGCATGGCTGCGATCAGTTGTATGACGTGGGCCTGTGGGATGGATTCAACATCTATCTGGAGTGCTTGGAACAGATCACGACGATTGGCTGGAGCAACTTGGCGACAAAAGCATCTTTGCAGTTTACCCCAAAGGTGCTCAATGGGACTCATGTCTGTAGACAGGGATGGCCAGGGAAGGGTTTGAATGATACTCGCGTCCAGGAACTGCGTGCTCAACCGTGCAGAATGGGGTCTGGCATTGTTCTATTTAAAAAAT